CGAGTGCGAGTGCGAGTGCGAGTGCGAGTGCGAGTGCGAGTGCGAGTTCGAGTGCGAGTGCGAGTGCGAGTGAGAGAGTGCGAGTGCGAGTGCGAGTGCGAGTGCGAGTGAGAGAGTGCGAGTGCGAGTGAGAGAGTGAGAGTGCGAGTGAGAGAGTGAGAGTGAGAGAGTGAGAGAGTGTGAGAGTGAGAGTGAGAGTGTGAGTGTGAGAGTGAGAGTGAGAGTGAGTGAGGGAGTGAGCGAGCGAGTGAGTGAGCGTGAGGGAGCGAGCGAGTGAGCGAGCGAGCGAGTGAGCGAGTGTGCGAGTGTGAGTGAGAGTGAGAGTGAGAGTGAGAGTGAGAGTGAGAGCGAGAGTGAGAGTGAGAGTGAGTGAGGGAGTGAGTGAGCGAGTGAGTGAGCGTGAGGGAGCGAGTGAGGGAGCGAGTGAGCGTGAGGGAGCGAGTGAGGGAGCGAGTGAGGGAGCGAGTGAGGGAGCGAGTGAGCGAGCGAGTGAGAGAGTGAGAGTGAGAGTGAGAGTGAGAGTGTGAGTGTGAGTGAGTGTGAGTGAGTGTGAGTGAGCGTGAGTGAGTGTGAGTGAATGTGAGTGAGTGAGTGTGAGTGAGTGAGTGAGTGAGTGAGTGAGTGAGTGAGTGAGTGTGAGTGAGTGTGTGTGAGTGAGTGAGTGAGTGAGTGAGTGAGTGAGTGAATGAGTGATGGTGAGTGTGAGCGTGAGTGAGAGTATGTATGAAATTGGGCGTCGGCGTTATGTGCCCTTGGACGAAATCTGCAATCTTCGAGATTCACCAAGCGCTGCACCTGCCAAAAAATCTGTACTTCGAGTGGGAGTGGGCCAGTGTGGGCGTTATGTGCCCTGCAACGAACTCCGCACTTCGAGGTTCACAAAGTAGCGCGCCTGCCACGAAATCTGCACTTCGAGGTTCACCAAGCGCAGTGCCTGCCACGAAATCTGCATTTCGAGGTTCACCAGGCGCTGCATTTCGAGGCTCGCAAAGCACTGCGCCTGCAACGAAATCTGCAAACGAGCCACAAGTCCAAAAGCTACGATTCATGGCACCTGTCACGAAAGAGCGCCTCGAAGATGACCATGACTCGGACCATGACCAAAGTACTACACTGCCACGAAGACTGCACTTCGATGCAAAACCGCTCGGATCCCTTGCGCCTATCACGAAAAGTCGACTTTGGACCACGAAAACACGAGGTTTCCCCTTGCGCCTGCCGCGAAAAGTGACCACCATGTCCGAAAATAGCCGAAAATGTGCACGGCGCCACAACGAGAGCACAGTCGCGACAAGCGCCCGCCGCGGCCACCCAGATTTCGCGAGCCTGCGCAGTCGAAATGCACCTCGAGAATTTCGAGAGGCATGAATGCACCGTAAATAGCAGCGAATTAGCCGCACACCCCCACGCGCCCCAGCGATCTAAGCACAGCTGCTCAACCCTTACCGTAAGAACCCCTAAGTGTGTCCACACTGTTTGGGGAACAAACACCAAGCAGAAGCAGCAGCAGCAGCAGCAGCAACCGATAAGCAGTATCCAGCAAGCAGCAACAGCGGAGGACGCCTGGCACGTTATGGGAAAACAGGTTTGGTGTAAACCGTGGTTTGGTGTAAGCGGTGGTGGGCTGGTGTAAAGCGTGATTTGGTATCAGCCGTGTTTGGTGTAGACCGTGGTTGGTGTAAAAGGTGGTTGGCAACCAGCAAGCAGCAACAGCGGACGATGCCTGGCATATTATGGGAAAACAGGTTGGGTATGGTTTGGTGTCAATCGTGGTTTGGTGTAACGGTGGTTGGTGACAGCCGTGGTTTCGTGTGAACGGTGGTTGGCGCAAAGCTTGATTTGGGATAAGCCGTGGCGTAGACCGTGGCTGGTGTAAACTGAGCCGTGGCTGGTGTAAGCTGTAAACCGTGCTTTGGTGCAAGCGGTGGTTTGTGTAGACCGTGGCTTGGTGTAAACTGTGGTTGGCGCAAGCCGTGTTTTGGCGTTTTTGCGTAAACGGTGTTTCCTGTAAGCCATGGTTGCTGTAAACCGTGGTTGGAGCAATCCAACCAGCAAGCAGCAAGCAGCAGCAGCTGATGATGAGTGGCATTAGTATAGGAAAGTATTCACGAGGCAGCTTGATGAGATGAGAAGCTCATGGCATCAGACCCTGTCACACTCACCCACTCACCCGTCCGCAGGGGGGAATTGAACCCGCGATAAAATATGTCCATAAGATTGATTCAATCAATTATTTCAGGTTTTTGAGGCGCCGTCCACTGTCCACCCCATCATTTAACTTGCTATCGCAAGAGCAACTCCAGCTAGCTGAGGCTAGCTTTCGGACAAGTCAGCTCTTTTGTCCATCAGTGCCTTAGGCCCTTCTTAAAGAATGCCAAATCAATGAGATTCTCTTCCGCGGCCTTGTCTCCCGCAAGCTGGGCCATACACTGGCCGATGCTTTCCATCTGCTTTGCCAGCTTCGGGTTGGTCTGGCAAATCAAGTTGAAAGGATCCACCCACGCGCTACGCATGGCTACTCCATGCTAAGCCCAAAATCATCCCGCTCGTTCGCAGCTTGCAGCGTGTAAAAGAACAAGAGCTTCGGATCCGTTGGATTTGTCTACAAGTGTCCAACACCATCTAGGCAAACCAGAGTCTGGCAACGAATACCCGGACAAGGAGTACAATTCTCCAACCATCTTGCGCACATTTCGGCACGATATACTCATCGTAGTCATCGGTCATCTCCTAAACTTGCCCAGATTCCCAGATTTCAAACCAGAAAGGATTGGACCCCGGTTCTACGTGATTTCATTCCGCTACGTTTCTGGGCTCTCAACCTCCATCCGTGTTCAACGGATGCCAGCCTGCCCCGCGCTGAGCGCCTCTGCCGCGCTGTCCAGCTGCGGGCGGCACCGTGCGTCCACCTCCTGGAGTAGGCTGATGGCACCTGGGGTGAAAGGAAATGAGACGCTGCCAAACATGCTTTTGACCCAGTGATTTGTTGATACTCTCTTTACGTGATCAAAATGATTCATGTGCAAAAGGGACACAAACTTTGGTCCCAAGTCTCTGGACTACATGTCTCAGCTTGCCTAGAGAAGAAGCATCAAAAAGCATCTGAGCCTCCAACATGATGTTTCAAATTCATAAGACTCGCCGCATGTTGGATACCATGTCTTCATATCCAAAGGGTCAAACTTCCCCTTCCGCATACATCTCCTTGGCTCTTGCGAGGCTTCTTGAGTGCCTCTCTCTGCATGGTCCAGTTCAGCTGAGCCTCTGATGCTCTTTCCGATTATCACCACAGTGGCGCTCAAACAATGAGGCATACCTTGAAGTCTTGCAGAATTGAGTACCGCCGTCTCGAGTCTGTCGATCAAGATCCCTGGTCAACGGTTTCTGAATCAAGAGAGCGAAGTCTTTGACTTTCGCAACTTAACTTCGTGCGACAGTGCGGCTGGCGCCCATAACCTTCCAAGCAAGCAGGAGCAGCGGCAGCACCACTCACCTGAAGCAACTGCGGTGTAAGGTACTCCTGTTCAATTGGAAAACACATCTTAACCCATAGGAGCATAATTTGTTCTATTGGCTCTTCTTTTGCTAGTTCCTTTCGCAACACTTTCGCAGCTTGCATTTTGGCTTTAACGCACTGCATTCTGTGCAAAAACGCTTTCGCAAGCTTTCGCAGACGGAACTCATTTCGCAAGTTTTTGCAAGTTTTCCCGAGCATTCACAAGCTTTCGCACATGAAAAGTTCGCACACTCTTTCGCGAATCTTTCGCGGCTGCATGTTTAGCTTTCGCGAAGGTATAATATATCAACCACTTTCTTCAAATTGTTACTTGGGTAGTGTTGATCGCTGCTCAAAAGGTTCTCTTTTTCGCGACATCGATTCAACAAAGCCCTCGGTCTGCCTGTAAGGTCCACCACTTGGACTGCAGTTTCGCTTTGTTGACAGTGGTAGTTGTAGGCACCAGTCGGGCAGGGTGGTCCTTCCCAGTGACATGGATCCAAAATGCGCATTGGCATGAAGGGCTTCATGCCAACGACCAAAAAGAACAATGCAAATGATAAAACATTCGATGCAAAAGTAGACAGGGTCGACCTCTGAAAAGTCCTGCGTGGTTTTGGAGCCCTCAGCGCCCATAGTTTCAGGCAACGATTCAAAAGTCAGAATGATGTGGTTGCTATATGCGCAGGGACGCCATGGTCTAGCAAAACTGTTGTCAACACCTTCGTCGCCTTGTCCTGCCGACTGAGAAGACTGCATCACGATGCATCGTGGTTTTGGCTGTTGTGTCGTCAGATGTCGTCTTCAGAAGCTTGAGCCATCCATCCGGAAGAACTGATTCTGTGGCCAACCAGGCTCACAATCAGCACAATCAGCTGAGACCAGTACCTCAATTGACAAATATTGGTTTTTGGAGTCTTGCTCCGCACGGATGTGGTCCATGTATGTTGTAATGTATAATGTGACCCCAGAGCCTGTGAACATCTGTGACCCTATCCTAAGTTTGTTTCTCGTACCTGCGCAAACACGCGGGAGCGGATCCTCTCCCAAGCTTGGCCGGAGAAGTCGGAGGGCATTAACGGCCTTTGGGCCCTTCGGGCCTTAAATATCCTGAGACATCTACTTCTACATCTTTCGCCAGGGTGAGAGACCATGGATGCCCAGACATGTCAGGGTCCGTCTTTGAGGTAGCGGGATCGCTATTATATATATAATATAATATAATATATATATATATGTATATATATGTATGTTGATTGCCAACCGCGCTTCCAGGGGCATTCATGCCCGAGAAAAGGACCGCCAGGGATGCGGTCTTCAGGTGTGAGCTACCAACATTGGTAGCGGAGCCGGTAACACACCGGCTCCCCGACAAGCTGGAAGCTTGTTGGAGTCTCCAACCGCACTGCCATGGATTCTGGCACGTCTCTTCGCACCTTGAGGCGAAGACGCTGACCACCGGGAATACCGCCGGTGGAAACAGCGGGCGCTCAACAAGATGAGGACAATGGACAAATTGTCTGAAGAAGCAAGAGGCTCGTTCATTTGGACATTGCTGCATGGTCGTGCTTTAGAGGTGGTGGAACACGTAGTCGGACTACCAGGTCAAGGGCGGAGACAAGGTGATCTTCGACCTTTTAGACCAGCGCGCTGGCCTGAGCTTGATCGCACCGACGAGATTGGCGAGAACATTGCCAGCGTTTACTCCTTGAAGGCCAAAGAAGGAGAAAGCCTCCGTCAATGGTGCGCCCGGGCTCGTGAGTGCTTCAACAAACGCGCTCGCAAGACTGGCGTCAAGTTCCCCGAAGAAGGCAGGGGATGGATTCTGTTGAACTGCTCCAAAATGTCGGAGGGTTCGCTCGGGCTCAGGGCGACTTGAAGTTCGATGCCCTCTCACAGTCTATGCAGTCACGCTTCCCCGACTACACCGTGGCTCGCAAGAAGACAGCCAGTCCATGCTGTGGAAGAGCAACCCGCTTCCTTCGAGGCCGTGGGCGACAGATTCCGTGACGTAGAGCTGTTCCTGGCTGAACATGGCTTGGAAGAGACTGAGGAGTCCCAGGAGGCTCCAGATTTCGAGACCTATAAGGAGGACGAAGCTGCCGAGATTTTGGCAGCGACCTGGAAAGGGCGTCGAGCTGAGCTGAACATGGTCCAGGAAAGCCACAAGTTCCTTCCTGCTGACCGTCGTGGAGGTGGTGGACAGGGCAAAGGGCCGGGCAAGGAGTTTCGTCGGTCCTTCAGAGTCCAGGTGGAGGAGCTGAAGCAGTGAACCCGCTGCCTCCGCTGTGGGAAGTTTGGCCACTGGCAGAGAGAATGCAAGGCTCCCGCGAACACTGCCAGCTCAGGGTCATCAGTTAGCCAACCCCACACCGTTTTGTCTGCGCAGCAGCTGCCTGCGCACAGGCCACAGAGGTTTTGCTGGCCAGCGGTCCGGGATTCGCCATCCTGGACAGCGGCTGCGGAAAGACCATCGTTGGAGCCCGCACTCTGGACTCTTTCAACAAAATTTGGAAGCAGCAGAATGTACATGTCCATCGGGAACTGACTGAGCAGAATCGTGTCCGCTACGGGAACGGTGAACAGGAGGTGAGCAACAAGGTGATTGAGACGCCAGTGTTCTTGGCTGGGCGTCCTGGCTTTGTCCGGGCTGTAGTGGTGGCGATGCCCCATTGCTGCTGTCACGCCCCGCGCTCAAGACTCTGGGCGCAGAAGTCAACTTTGCTGAGCTCACCTTGTTTGCTGACAAGCGATCCGTGCCACTAGAAGTGAACGCAGCCGGCCAGTATGCTGTGAACGCGTCCAGCTTTCCTGATCGAGCTCACGCATTGTTCCCAGGGCGATCCAAGCCTAGCATGTCAGAGCCGGAGGCAGAATCTCCGTCTTCACCATGCCTCTCGGTCGAATTGCGTCGAGCCCCCAAAACCAAGAAGAAAGATTTTTGGGAGCTGCGCCCCCGTGAAGGTCTTGTGATCCGACATCAAAAGGGTAGAAATTCTTTGTTCACACCACACAACGCCCAGTGTCCAGTCAGCATCGAGCATTTGTTTCCCGATCGTCTCACGAAGTTGATCGGCTCACTCCGCATACCAGGGACCGCAGTGATCGTTGGACTGATCCTGAGGTAGCTCACATCCCGATAGGCACCGAACCATGGACAGGTCAGACATCTTTCGCATTCGACGGGGTGCACCTTTGCCTTCCCCGGCTCACGCCGATGCCGATGAGGAACAGCTGAGTGTGATGCAGCTGTCCGAGAAACAACATCGACAGCAGATGGCCCAAGTGAAGGCCTCCCGTGATAGCACTGACACTGAGTTCGATGTTATCGAGGTGTTCTCTCCCCCAAGATTTGCATTTAGAGGGCGCCGAGATGGGTTTCAAGACACTTTCGGCCGATCTGTGTAGTGGGTGGGACTTTAGGAGGCGAGCCGACCGCAATCGCTTGTTCGAGGTCGTGAGGGTCGCCAAACCGGCCCTGCTACAGCGCTTTGCCCGCCTTGTACGTGGGCGGGTGGGTGGTGGCATTTGAATTCAGCCGATTATACATGAACCCTCATGATGTCGTATCCAAAGAAACATGGACACATGTTTTCATCCGTTTCTGCGCTGAACTCATGGAACTGCTTCAGTCGTCACTAGGTGGTCAACGCATGTTCGAACACCCTAGGGGTTCAGTAGCTTGGCCGAATGCCTCAATGCAAAAGTTGATGGATCGTACGCACCAAGTGCATGTTGACATGCGTCGCTATGGCCTGTGCGTCCCAGGTGGACCTCTGATCCGCTAGGCGACCCGCCTTTTGGTCTCACACACTGCCATGAAAAGTCTTGGTAAGCCAATGCCATAAGTCACATCAAAGTGTGGCCGGCCACTGGCCGAGCATCAGGTCGATCAGTAAGCACGCTGCCAAATATACTCCGGCTTTTGTGAAGGCCGCGCTCCGAGTGACCAGGGATTTGCCACTAAGCGACTGCCTCCAGGTGCTGAATGAGTCGGCCTCAGAACGCCTGGCTGCCCACGCCATCGATGAGCTAAACCAACAAGAAGACGCGGACAAGATCAAGACTAGCTTTTGCAGATTCCATAGTTTTCGAGGCCATCCCACTAACCAACAACTCATGCGTGTGTTGAAACATGGTGGGGCATCCAGCGCCGCCATTGAGGCTGCTCAGAATTTTGCGCGCGATCATTGCCAGGCTCATAAGACCCCTAAGATTGCTCTCCCAGCACAGGTCCAGCGGGTTGTCGAGTTCAATGCACTTGTAGGCGTCGACATCAAGTACGTGACCGGATGGCCGGGTAACTCGCCACGGTGAACACGATAGATTACGCCAGTTCGTTGCAGGTGATGGTTCCAGTTCAAAAAGGAAACCGCCCAAAGCATTCGCCAAGTTTTCCAGGAGCGTTGGGTCTCGTGGGCTGGCATGCCAAGCGAAGTGGTCTGCGCGCCCGCTCGCGCCAACGTGGCCGATGCCTTTACGGCAATCATGGAACAGGGCGGCGCCGCCTTTAAACTCACTGCGGCTGACGCCCGCTGGCAACTAGGCAAGCGTGAGGTCCATGGCGGTTGGTTTACGGGTCTTGACAAAGCTTCTTGCCGAGCATCTCCCCAAATCCCATGCAGGAAGAATGGCCTAGTGTGTCAACGCTGCACATTGTATAAGAACCAACTGATCCAAGTGTATGGGATGACCCCTTCACAGTTCGTGTTTGGAAAGAACCCCGTGTTCCGGGAAACTTGTTGGATGAACCCTTGGAGATTGCGCCCGCAACGGTATCTCTGTACGAGTCAACTGTGGCCAAACAAGTGGCTATCCGCCAAACTGCCCGTAGAGCTGCGCTAGAGTTGCAAGCCTCGCTGCTCTTGTTGTTCTTCTTCTTCTTCATCTTCTTCATCTCGAAAAGACAGGCCGTTGGTGTGGCCCTGCTGTGGTTCTAGGCCCTCTAGGCTATGAAACTTAATTAGTCATCATACACAAGCGTCAAACCTTCCGATGTGCCCCTGAACAGGTTCGACCGTCTACCCAGGATGAACTGAAACTGATAGAGACCCCACACATAGTTTTTAGGCGTCAAAATCTCATGGAATCCCGTCAGCCTGAAAGCCGTCAATACATCGACTTGACACCGGAATCCTATCCGTCAGAGCAAGGGCCTCCAGAGCCCGCGACCGCTCAATCCGGACCCATGTCGGCGTCCGACAAAGCGCAAGAGCTGCGTCCGGAGCCTCAGCCCAGAGCCCGTCGCATGTGGCAGTTGATCAAGAGATGCCTCCTGCAGAAACTCCAGAGCCACCGGTTGATAAGTCGCGGCTAACCCCGTCTGACTATGGCCCATCACCTCGACGACGCATCCACCAGAAAGATTGCCCGACGGCCTTGACATGATAAGAGATTGTCCCTGAACTGTTGAAACAGGTCCTCGATAGTCCCATATCATAGAACCGGCTGGAGAAGCGTCATCGGCCTCTGCCTCAAGCTCCTCTAGAGGAGTGAAACGCACTGTGGATGAAGTCAATCCACAGCCTTCCGAGGAACCGGCTGAGAAGAAACCAATGTCAGCTGACTTCGATTCGTCGTCGTACGTTCAAGCCGGTGAAACCTTCGTCCGTGATGAAGTAGCCATTTGTTCCGTTCAGCTGTTGCAGAAAGAACAATTGGCCCATCGGACTGAGAGCCTGTCGTC